AAAAAAAAATGGTTACGGACTAGATCTGTCAGAAACAAAACTCACCTTTTCAGTTTAACGGTTTTAAAACTCTGTAGTTACGTAACCTAATGTTTATCATATTTGCCTAGTGCATATAGGTGACTGGCAGGTGTTGTACGCTTACCATTTAATGGAAACTATATGATAATTGTCCTCAATTAAAGTAAATTACTGTAAAATGTAAAGTTAAAGCTGTGTCTTGAGAAAGATGGGAGTGCTCTTGGGATTTTTCTCATGCGTACCACTGTTAGAAGCAAGATGACCTCTTTCGTGTTGCAAGACAAAACGCCCATCTAGATTTTAAATAGTTGCAGCTTTCACTGTGCACTTGAAAGCATTAGAACCTTGCTTCTCTCATGTCTTCAGTTCCATACATCTTCATGTCTTGAGAGTCCTGGCAGTCCTCCAAACACCTATAAAAAGAAAAACTCTTTAATCATACAGGGAGATGTTGGAGTATGAGCAGAGTGTAGATAGGCCATTAGAAGTGGCTTTTTTCAAGATAGATGTATGTTGGGAAGCATAAAGCACAGTTAAACACCTTCAGAATGTTGCGTACAGTAAATGTGTTCCTCTTTGTTTGTGAACATGGTGCTTAGAGACAGACCTTTTCCAAATGAAACAATAAGGCAAATTAAGTCATGTTTGCTTCACTTGGCTAACCAGGGTGATCAGAGGATGGATTAATGCATACCCCAATATAATTTCATTTACCTGTATAATTTGTATGGTCCCTATTCTGTGCCTGATATTTGTCAGTAAAAATGTCCCAGTAGGTACAAACCATTCAGCCTTTATAGAAAATCATAAATAGGGCTATATTTATCTTGTTTTTTGTAGTTGGTTTCTGGTATCTTCATTTGAGCTGTTGGATACCCAAAATACGCTTATCATTTATAGAGTTACTGTCTTTCAGGTTTTTTTTTTCTATTGTTTGCTGTGTCAGCTGTTCTAAGTTTCCTAGATCTTGAAGCTGGATGTCAGTGAGCCGCAATCCATTTCACACCTTGGTGATTGTGCAGGCTGGAAGTCTGACATGTGATCTGTAGCTCTCTTTGTGTCTGAGCTACTGCATGTAACTGTTTTTTCTAAACAGGTAGGCTAATGGAGGGCAGCAGCTCAACAGGCTACATCAAAGAGTTAGGTTCCTGTAACCTTATCAGGTGCTATGTATTAAGCATCAAAAGGGCATTTAGGAGCCCTTAGTTAAAAAAAAAAAATAGAATTCCTTATTTAACCAAGGCATCAGAGGTTTGAAATTTGGTAGATCTTGGTTGTTACCTGTGTTTTTTTAGGTGGGTTTTAATTTGTGTGAAGCAAAGCTGAGATTTATGCTACATGCTGTCTTATGCCTAATGTCCAATTTATTTCTGTCTGTGAGCAGGTTTTCAACTGTGCAATGGGAGCAAGATTGTTTTTTTTAAACATATATAGGGATTACTTAATTACTCCTGTCTACCTGTGGGGGGTCATTCTTGGTCCAGTTGTGTAGGCGTCTTGAAATTGATTACTGTGTAAACACGATGGGTGTTCAGTTTGGCTATGTTGTAAATGGACACAGGACAAATCTAGGACCCCTTGCCACCCTCCAAAGCTGAGGTTTTCCCTTACCTACTGCTGTCCCAGAGAAACCAAAAAGGATTCCTTTGCATTTCACTTAGTGCATGCTAAGCATAAAGAAAATGTATCAAAGACAGCAGTAGGGCCTGGATATTTCAGGCTCCTTCACTTAGTATGTGTGATCAACATTGGAAAGTTGTCCAATTGCCATGCTCATGGGCATTTAATTGGTTTGAAGTTTGTAAATATAAACTTATTTTATATATTTTAATTAAAATCTCATTTAATTCAATTCCTGGCCATGTTAACCAAAATTTTAATTCTAAATGTGATCTTGCATTTTTAACCTTTTTTTTTGCTTTCTTTCTAGCAATTCCCTGGATTACAGCAAAAATGGCAGACATGGACAAGTAAGTATTCAACGTCATAACTGCACCTAAGTGTTTTGTTATTCTTTGGTGTAGACAGTAATGAAAAATGAATGCGTTTAGCTTTACCTTTTAAAGGTTGGGGAAAGGATCCCACTTTTTAACTGACTGCAGTACACTTAGTTTTCAGACAGCATTTGGTCACTTCTTGTTTCTTGCTTGTCTAAATTCCACTGTTAAATGAATCTGAGTATTGACTCGTTTATAGAATTACCAGTGCAGCCTTGTCGCCTGGTTAGTGTTGGAATAGAAGACCTCCAGGTTTTTACTGTGTGTGGAGCTGGACCAGTTGGTGTTGCCTTTCCCTCTGGTCCAGAAAGTAAACAGCTGTGTTCACACATGGTGACCAGGAACAATGCTGTAAGGAGTTAGTGCACAGTTAACCTTGACTACTTGTCTGTTTAAGATTCTATGGCACTATGTGCCGACTAAATTCCACACCTAGTGTGCAGATCCTGACCTACTTGGGTTTCCACCCTAATTCAGCTGGACAAAATGTCATTCTTCTCTATGGCTATATACTGGGGTGGCAAGAGCCTGATGGCTGCTGTAGAGGAAATTCCTCTTTGTAAAGTATAAAGTCCTCTGGGGTGAGAATCCCTGTAATTGCATAAATGTATAGGTACGTGTCACAAACTGCTTTGTGTGTGGAACAAATTAGTTATACCTTCTCTTTTGAAAAGAAGCTTTGCGGAGATTGCTTTTCTACTGCATCTCCATGTTACTTTTTAACTTAAATTTTATAGAATAACTTAAATGTTACTGGCTTTTGTTTCTAAATATTCTCTGTATTGAAATTTCAAATGCCGCAACTGTTTCTGCCTGTAATTGTTCTTTAGAACTTTAGCTGGAAGTCTTTGTTGACAGTGGTTGAAGCACTACTGTAAGTGTTAGCTGCTTGACAGACTACATTAGAATTTAAACTAACTTTTGGAAAATTATCCTCAATAAGATGGTATATCCATTCTGTCGGATACTGTTCTTATTGAATTGTTTTACTCTGATAAATATCTTAGATGCTTTGTGTTCAGTAGGACAACGGTGGTAATTTGCAAAATGGAAAATTTACTTTTACTAAACCTTTTTTTAGATGCAAAATACACTTTTTCTATGTTTTGAAGTAGAAGGAAGATTCATGCGGGTAGAATGGTGGGGGGGGATTAAATTGGCAGTGATGCTTGCAGAAACTGAGAGAGCAGCATATTTGACATATGACCTGAAGGAAAGTAAAGGTACAAGTAGTGAGATGCAAAGCCATGAAATACGTAATTGTGGAACAGTAGAAGTTAAGTCAGATCCCCCCCCCCCACTGAAGTACAATTACCAAGTTGTGCGATGTGTAGAGTTAAACATAACAGTACAGTGTGAGTTATTGGAAGTATCCATATCTATAGGTTAAAATGAGACAATCTTCCTGTGTAGGCGTATACTAGGGCTTATGCAGGGTCCTTTATTGTCCTGGCTGGCTGATGTCGGTGAATAGTCTCACTGGCTGCTTCAGAAGCAAACGGCCAAGGTGATCTGCAATGTTCATTGGAAGGCATCGCCATCAGTAAAAATAGATTTGGAGAGTCAGTTGCTCTCCTATCATAACCAATTATCAGATGGCGGTTCTCATATTTGTGCCCAGGAACAGAGGGTGTCACCTTCCAGATCGGCTGTGTTCTGCTGCATGATGTAACAGATATAATCCATCTTGTCTGTGGAATCTGGCTGTGATTTAAGCATAATGTCAAATAAGGGCTGGTAATCCAGTCTTTTTGTCTTGCTGAGTCAAATGTGGATCTGCAGGTCTGAGAGATTCATGGAACTGGAGTCTTCAGGACCTCAACAGCAGTCTCCTTAATCACGTTTTCTTTGTAAGCACTATTGAGTGTTCTAAAATAAATCAGTATATGATAACAAATCCATAAATACTGAATTAAAGAGATGTTAGGTTAGAAATTAAAATCCATTCTTGTTGAATGTTCATTCTGATTTGGCAATTTAGTTTGAAAATTGCAGTACTACCTGTTTGTCCCTGACTTCTCTGCCTCCCCACAGTTATCTTCTGACAAACTGTTGGGATAAAATCTCAGTTTATGTGCAAGTGTTGGACCCAAGTGTTGACGTTTAAGTGCTTAATTTGTTTTGTGAAAGGTAATTAGCTTTGACCTCTTGTTCAATGAAGCGCCTTGAAACCAGTTGAACCAGTTGAGGCACCATCTTGAAAGTATTGTAACCATCAGTGCATTGTTGTAACAGCTGTTGCATTTTTAAATTGTTTACCCATTGAATACCAGCTTGGATGCCTTTGCTTCAGTCTTACACAGGGCGTATGCTTTCACAGCTGTGTACAGTCCCTCAAGAAGGGGGTTGACTGGCCAGTGAAACAGTTCTCAAGTATGATTTATAAGCCTCCTTTAAAGTGAATGGAAATACATTTTTGGCAGTGGGTTTAGTTGCACACAGTCTAGTCGCTGACTATATTTTGGTAAATCTCAAAAGTATTTTGGCAGGTATTTGCCATCTTTTAAAACTTACTGAATCCTACTATTGTTTTCTTGATATCTAAGTAATGATATCCCAGTATCACTTAAGTAATGATAGGTTACACACTCGGTATGGGTAGACATTTAGATGTAATTGGTAGTGCTGTTAGTTTTTTTTTAGTTTCAAAATGGTTTATACTTCTGGGTTCATTGGCCGTTTCAGATCGGCTTTTTAAAATGATAGTAAAACCATCTCCTAATTTTGTCTTTCTCTGTGAAGCAAAGAGCAAGCTGAGCTGGACCAGGCAGATATGGAAGATGTGGAGGAAGTTGAAGAAGAAGAAGCTGGAGAAGATGTTAACAGCAAAGGTGCAGTTGTTTTAGAGCCATCTTTTGGTCTATGTACTGTGTGTTTAGAGAAAATTGAATTTCTAAAATTCCCAAAACAAATTTGGTTTTCTTCCTCTTTCATCTCATTCATGGAATCTCAAAATGATGGATAACATTTTCACTTGCAGCTGCTGCCATATTACCTTATTTTCATCTCTACTGCTTAGAGGCAGACTAGTTGCTTCTGTGAGTAGACGTGCCTGTCTGTGTGCATCATGGCCCTGTCACTTAAGTTTTACCCTTGTTCCTTCAGAGGCAGTGACTGCCTATAGCAGTCGGGCTCATTTGCTCTGGGGCTAAGAGCTTAAGTTTTGAGGTTGCATTTCAACAGCTTTGGTTTAGACATTTCTAAACTGTCATACATTGAACTTACTAGGATTATGTACATTTCATTTCAAATGATTTCATTCAATTTTACAAACCATTAATTTTCTCATTTTCTTCAGAAATGTTCAGAAAATGACTTGGCTGTAAACCAAACCAAAGGCAAACTTCATTCAGCTATGCCTTTTATTTTCATTTGATTGTTGTTTCTGTTATTGAATACAACTACTTTCCAGTTACTAGGCAGCTTTTTTGATTATCTTGTGTATTATCAGATGACTTATTGAAACGTTTGTGTTTGGAGTCAAATGGGAAATTGATGCCTTCATTAATCTTCCAAAAATAGCCTGTCTTCGGGCGTTCATTGTCATATAGAGACCTTCATGAGAGTCTGTAATATTGGCTTTTGAGACACTCAAAATACTACTTATAATAAAGTAAATATAAGCTAGTTGACGTTCAGCTGTCATAACTATTAATTACTGGTACATTTGTAGTTGTTTCCCCCCCTTTTTGTCTGAGGGTTTGAAGTAGACCTTGAAATTCATGTCTGTCACCTATTCAATAATTCCAAATCAATCTACCAGGTAGTTTGTAGAATCTCTGATGTGAGGAAAACAAGCCCACTTTAACCAAAATGTGGAACTCATCCAGCATCCATTGACTTTACTTTAAATGCACAATTGAATAAAGTTCAGTAAACATATGTTAAGCAGATTTTCATTAAATATTTAGTTTTTTTATATGTGTAATAAAATCAGGGAGGTGATTATTATAATTAGCTTCACATATCTGCTTTGCATTTCTTGCTAAGAATGTAATTCTCTTTAGGTCAATTCAGACATTAGTCTTTGTGGGGGATGAGACATTGTAAATGTTACCCTGTAATTAAAATCTAGCAACAGTCCACTAAAACAAGACTGTACACAGATGTTTGGGTCAAATAGGACTACGCATCTCGGACAGAACTGGTCCACGGTTTACACTTGCTGATCTGCCTCGCTGGCATTCTGCTGTACTTGCAGCTCGTCAGCTAACGGTCCAGATGATGCAGAACCCACAGATACTGGCAGCGCTGCAAGAGAGGCTGGACGGGCTGGTGGGGTCGCCGTCTGGCTACATGGAAAGGTGAGGCATGTTCAGAGCAATCCTGACCGTAGCAGGAAAGATCTCCACTTCTGTGTGAAATGCCTGTCTGCTTTCTCTTTTGGAGTTATTAGAAAATGGCATTGCTTTCACAACCTCATGGCATTCAAGATAAGGCAAGGTGTGTGTGAAATTATACAGTGAACGTTTACAGAATTACACGTTATTCCCATGCCCTGATACAGTGTAAAATCTAAAATTAATACAAACATGAAACTGTTTCAGTACAGTTAAATCTAACGTTCTGGGTTGAATGAATTTACTGGTCTGCTTCAGAGAGACTTGCAGTGACCTTCAGGACAGATTTATTACAGCACTAACTCTAATGAAGTGGACAGACCTGTTGGCAGTACCCCTTCTCTTCATTCAGTTATTAATCATCTTTAAAAATAAGCATGTCCCGGACAACAGGCACACAAATGCAGCAATAAGGTTAAAGTTTTTTTTTACAGTGTAAGGGGAAAACATCCAACAGAAACCAAAACCGTAAAAACAACCCTAGCTCCTTTTTGAGCTTCTGATGGACACCTTCAGATCCACGACTAGTACCAGGCAGCTACGCAATGGAACAAACTAGAACAGCAACCAGATGGCTGTTATATAAACGTGAACTGAAGAAGTAAATGTGACAAAATCTTAAGACGGAAGGGTGGCAATACTATTTTGTATTCCCAAAGATGCCAGTTCAATTTCTGCAACAAACTGCTGATTACAGCTTTGGTCAAGTAGCCCAGTATTTGATTTCCTTGAAATATTATTTTTCTTTTCATAATCATGCAACATTTTGCCCAATATAAACAGTAAGGTGAAGGCAAAAGAAGGCAGTATTACATCATAATATAAGTGAATGCAATGGAGCACTGTGGGGAGCTGTCAAAAATGCCTATACCGTTTAACAGTAGGCAAAGGGCTAAATGTCTTTTTGTGGACCTCATTCATTTGGTCTGCAGTCCTCAATGGCTCCATTTGAAGCCAGAAAAGCTCCCATTTGGCTTGTGGTTCTGGAAAAGTACTCAGACTGTTAAGAAAAGTGAGTGCTGTGTCCTTCAGAAGTGAAATCATTGATCTGATAATCATATTGTGACACCTTGCTTGTTGCACTGTAACAGGAGCTCTAAAAATAAGAGCTTCCAATCAACAGACACAACAAGCACAGCCTGGTAAGGTTAGAGCTAGACTCTGCCAGTGGGGGGGGGGTGTAGTTTCACCCCTCAGAACTGAAATTCTTGATCTGCTTAACCATGCTTTGTGATCTGTTACAATTCAACATGTCCCTTTTTGTTTGAATGTGGACATTTGTAAAGAAATAATCTAGATTTAATATATTCCTAAATGAAGTCTTAAGAATAGTAGGATATCTTTGTCCATAGGTATTTAAAGTCTGGAAGACTGATGCTGAGTAGTTGCGAGTCTTGGAGAAAACTCAGAGCCTAGTGCGTCTTCCCACTGCACACATCCTTTTCACTTTAAAGCCACTATGGCAATTACAGTATGTACATTTGTCTAATCTGCATGTCAGAGGTTTTAATTCTATATTGTGACTGCATAATCCTTTGTTTTGCTTAAATCATTCTGTGCATGATACTTGTACAAAATTGTTTTTTCATTTTTTATACGAAACAACTTGATGGATCTTCATCTCTTTTACAGTTTACCTAAGGTAGTCAAGAGACGTGTCAATGCCCTAAAGAACCTCCAAGTAAAATGCGCCCAAATTGAAGCCAAGTTCTATGAAGAAGTGCATGAATTGGAAAGAAAGTATGCAGCTCTTTATCAGCCACTGTTTGACAAGGTAGGAGTCTGCCGTTATGCATAGTATTTAAGTCCTTATGCAAGGTTATTTTTATTAAGAATAGCAGATAAAAGATTAATTGTTCAACATGTCCAACAAACTGTTAAAATGCCTTGGAAAATTAAAGTGAGTTTTTTCCTTCCTACAGCATTTTAATTTCCGCATTTCTTTTACATTGTAGTTGATGACAAGCTGATGCTATTGGATGATGCATTTTTTTTTAGGAATCGTTAAATTTCCAACCCACATATATAAAGAGACAACTTAATAGTTCTACAGACAGCACATCTGTTGCCTGTACAGTTGATGAAAAGCTGTCGGATGACATTGCATTATCGATCACTTGTTAAGATTCTGAGGGAACAGTCTGAACATGAATTGTTGGGTGTAAAGCAGATAAAGATAATACAAGCAATGCGTGATGCCCGTACTGCAATGTGGCACCACCTATCATGTATCTCTTTCAGCCATTTTGGTTAATTATTCAGTTCACTTCACATGTCTTGTGTAGAAGACTTGAGCTTTAGCTTGGGTCCAATTACAACTCTTAGAAACAAGCCCAGTCTAATCTGGTTATCAACTTTGTGCAGAATATAGACTTGGAAACAGAATGGTTTCTCAAAGTATAACCCTGATATGTGATTTGGAAACATTTTAGTAGATCTTTGCTTAGAATCCCTTCAATTACATGTGTTGTACAGATTATTTCTAAAGAGGCCTGTCAGTTAATTCTGATTTATTGATTTTAAAGATGTGACCATATCTGGAAAAACCTGTACTTTCAAGTTTGTGTATAACTTGAATGTATACCCGTCTAGCTAGAGTTTAAATACATTAAATGCTTTTGAGCCTTACTTATTTTCAAGAAATGCATCATTACAAGTAATATCTGAATTCATTATGTTCCCATTAGCGAAGTGATATCGTCAAAGCAACCTATGAGCCAACTGATGAGGAGTGTGAATGGAAGGCAGATGAGGAGGAAGAACTGACAGTAAGTGGTCAGGTACAGATGATGAATACATTGACTTGATTTATACACTGCTTGATTTTTAATACACAAAGGCTACTTAAGCATGTTTGCCTGTATCTTGTCAGTGGCTTGAACCTCTTTATCTGAAGTGACAAGTGACTTTGTAAATGTAGTTGTATTTCCACTTCAATCTGTTATGCCCGATAACCCAATAAACTAGTTTGGGTGATGACAAACCTCCAGTGTTTTAGGAAATCAGCAGCCCCTTCCTTATGTAGCTCTTCTCCTGACTTTCTCCTGAGATGTGACTGGATGATTGTGGTACTGTATTTACATGGAATATGATCTTAGGTGTACAGTGTTTCACTTCTAGTTGGAAGCAATCTGAAACTTTTACGACTTTTAAACTAGGACAATCATTGCATGAAATATTTACGTTGCTGGGGTCAGTAGAGCTTAGTTTGGCTCCTTCTCACTAATCTCTTTGATGTAAAAATTGATTGTGATGTGTTAATCTGTTGTTAAAGACCAAAAATATTGTTCTTTGCAAAAGTATGCTTTTTTAAACTTGTCTGTAGTGTTTTCTGCTGTTCTATACCATATGTTGTATTTGTAACAATGGCTGTGAATTTTGACCAAATATTGGGAGTAATGCATTCTGAAGAAATAACAAAGCTGATCTTGAACAAGCCACAATTCATGATGAATACATACTGCACATTTAAAAATTGTATTTGCTTCTGTCATGGAGTTATTTGTGTAACTTTTTCATGTGAAATGTTGTGGTTCCACCTAATAGATAGTTTTGTTTATGGCAAAATATCAAACCAAGGTTTGTTTTTTAGGAATTTTAGTTTTGAATGGATTTTACTTTTTAATCCATTTAAATCTGGTAACATTTAAGAACATCTGTTTGTTTTACTTTACAGATATTGAATACTAATAAATATCCAGTGCAAATGTAATTTGCAAACCACCAGTATCCTGAAAGTTGTTAGTTTGAAGACAACCGATGGTATAGTCTGCAGATATTTGTAAAAAGCTGATACCCAATTAATGTGCAATTCTCACTTCTTTATGATGCTTAATGTTTTACTCAGCCTGTAGCAACTGGCAGAATTATTTTCACTTTCAACAGATAAATGGTGATTAATTCATTGAGCATTAGCAGGGAAAAGTGAAAAGACTGTTCCAAGAACCTGACTTTTCATTCTTTGCCTCAAGACATTAATATTAGTCTTGGCAAATACGTAGTTGAGTTTACATTTCTCCCTATATTTTGTCTCAAAAGGATTCCAGGGACTTGAGAGTGATGTTCTCCCTGTTGATAATATGCTTGCACTCTTTGGTGGTGTTGATATTGCATAAATATGAACATCAGATGGTGCTGGCTATGTTTGTCCTCTTGTATACTATGGCACTAGGAGCATGATTTATCTACATGGCTGGCTGGAATATTTACATAAATACATCAACTCCATTCATATTAGATTTTGGCTTTGTGGTATGCTTTTAACAGCTTTAAATTGCCATTGTGATTTGTAAATGTTACTCTTGTCTGTGTTTGCAGATATGAAAAGATTTGTCTACTGGTAAAATGCTTTAAATGGGTGACCTTTAGCTCTATTTAAGGGAAATAGGTCAAGTATGCTCTTGAATATTTTCTACTGCAAAATATATTAAAAGTAACATTATGCCGTTAGATCTTCATTCACTGTCCATGTTGGCTAAACTGAGTTTTTCAGGCAGTTTAAAAACGAATATTCCTTGACTGTCAGTAATTGACAGGGCTTTCATTCCCTGTAATCTTGTCTTTTTACAGTTTTTACTGTTTCAGAATTCCTGCAGGTTTTTCTGTAATTTTTTTAAGGATGGTATGTCTACTACCTCCCCCACATATTTGTATTAAGGCTGTGGCCCAGATTAAATCAACCACTCGCTCGGCAGACAAATGTCAAACTTGATATGTGATGGCACCATGCTGTAGGGCAAACGAGAGCCTTTCGGCTAACAGCTGCTGTCAAGGGAAGAATTTAGAATTTGCATTGGAAGATGTCATTTCTGCTTGGGCACTGCAAGTTGAACTGTTAATATTTTTTCCAGCATGTGTAATGTGTTGTAGAACAGTGGTTCTCTAACTTTTTGGATCAAGTACCACTCCTGATCAAACCAAAGCATCCAAGTACCACCTACATCTTCTCATAGGAACCCCAGAAAATCTCAATGACCAAAATGACCACACGCACTCACACACGCATATAATATTATATTAACAAAACTTAATTTGATATAGCACCTTTTAAAGGTGGCTTCTCAAAGCGCTTTTCAGAATGACAACAGGAACAACAACAATTAAAAATAAACAATAAAAAAGCACCATTTCAGTGAGAGAGGTGAGCTTGTTTAGTCGAGCAAAGCAGATGTGAATTCATTGGTCAAGCCTTGATATGATTCACAACAGAGTCTAACAGATTTTAAATCATCAGGCATTTTCTTGACGGCAAAGGCCTCTTCATATCTGGAGCAACTTCTCTAATTCGTGCAACTACACCGCTGTTTCGGCTCGTCATTGCTCTAGCACCGTCTGTACAAACTCTGATGCATTTGATCCAGTCGATGCCATTCTCTTCGATAAATTCATTCAGAAGTTGAAATATGTGCTCTCCTGTAATTCCTGTTGGTAGTTGCTTACAGAACAAAGTCCTCATGGGACATGCCCTCAAACTCGTATCTAACGTAAATGAGCAAACTGGCCAAATCAGCGACATCTACAGACTCATCTAATTGCAGTGTAAAGCATCTGCTCATCTTAACACGCTCCATCAGTGTAGTTTTGATATCATCCGCCGTATCAATAATTCTGAGTGAATGTCTTCCAGAGGGGGCAGCAGGTCAAGCTGCTTAGCAGCTTGTTCTCCACACAATGCGTCAGCTCTTTTGCCAATGGTAAACAAAGTTCTTTAAAAATAGTGTGGGGCTTACCTGCTTAAGCAATCTGCAAGCTAGCATTTTTCCCCCGTTTCAGTTTCAGGTGTCTGTCTCAGTTAAAAAGTTTTTTTCATGCGCATGGGAGCGAAACACAATCACACACATTCTCCTACCTCCCTATTTGCTGGAGATAAATTTTAGTAAAACAAGTGGTCACTTGAGTTAATAGCACACATTCCTCTAGAATGGTATAGAATTACATAGTAGCTCTTGTCTACTCAAGTATTAGCGCCCGCTGTATGTATGTAGGCTGTGTATTTGACACAAACTAATTTTATTAAAACAGAAAATATGAAAACCTGTCCCAATTTTTCAGCGCACACAACAAAGTTCCAGGGTCATGTGGTGTACCATCGTTTGAGAACCACTGTCGTAGAGGATATGTTGATCACTGTTTCCTGTAATGCCAACAAGAGAACAAAGTCAGCTAGCAGGTTTATATGAATAAAAAGTGGATTTCTCTCGTTTTCTTTCTTCACTGCGGTTTACCCCTGTGTTTCATCACTGAAGTTTTCATTTCATTTTCAGACATGGTGCTTTATAAAAGACCAATAATATTAATTGGTTAAATAAATAATATTAGTTAATTTGGCATTTTAAAAATGCAGGATAAATTAAGATTTGACCAGCTCCTCCTTTCATCCTGAAAGTTCACTAGGATGAAGATCTGGTGACTGTGGACAAGTCTTGACATCAGTCTGCAATATGTATAATTAAAGTATGGGTTGAGTCCTAGCCCCATTGGAAATCAAGCTGCTAAGTTGCAGGCAGTGATGTCTAGATTTTTGTTCACGTTCTTTGAGGTTTCTTCAGCACAGCAAGCCGATACCCTGTCTTTAATGCTACTTCCTCTCTTTTCTAGTGGAAATTGGAGTTCTTTCTTAGGTTATTTGGCCATAATGAGCAAAGCAGATAATTGAATGATCATTTGTACTTAAATACATTTTCAGCACAAATTAGCAGCATTATACTGTGTTTTGAGGGGACTTAGATTTTAAAGCCACGTAAATCTGTTAAGCACCGAGTTAGAAGGTAATTTCACAAATACCAGATCACAACAGGGTGGTGGAGATTAGTGGGTTTTTGTGAGTCACTCTCTGCATGCGTTGCTTCAGTCTTAACTTTATGGCTTGCATACTTAAATGTACTTAACATAAGTAATCCTCAATGGTGTCTGTCTCTAGGGGTTCTGACGTCAGGCAATCTAAATTTTTGCCCCTACAAGTTGCACAAATAGTTGTGTGAATAGTTGGCACACTTTGCATGCATCCAATTGTAAATTTCCCTCCTTACAACATGAAATGGTTTATTGCAGCTATTAAAATATGTAGTTGATATTTTGTATACAATGTCTGTCCTAAAATGCTTGATGCTTTGGTATTTCAGGAGGAGATGAAAGAGAAGGCAAAAGTTGAGGAGGAGAAAAAAGATGAAGAGAAAGAAGACCCTAAGGGGATTCCAGAATTCTGGCTGACTGTCTTTAAGAATGTTGACTTGCTCAGCGACATGCTGCAGGTATGTAAAGGGGCAGGGCATGAATGCGAACATGGTTCAGCTGTCTTCCCTTGGTATCAAATAGGTACTGATTTTGTACTTCATGCTACTTTAATAATGCCATTGCATTATCCCCATTGGCACTGCAATCTTTTCACTGTGCACTCAGACGCTGTGGATATAAAATTTTAGTATGCAGTTCAACCCTGTTATTTCATTTTGGTGTTCATAATGCCATCTACTGGTGTACTGTAGAGGGTTCATGGATTTTAGATCGATCTTTTCTTGATATTGTTCATCTGAAGCAGACCTTTTTAATAACTTCAAGTCTCCTCTGTTACACACTGCATTTTAAACAGAATTGAGTGGCCCAAGAAGTGCACATTTTTCAGTTATTTTTCTTTCTTTCAGGAGCATGATGAACCAATTCTAAAGCACTTACAAGACATCAAAGTAAAATTTTCAGATCCAGGGCAGCCAATGGTAAGTTATATTTCCCTACCCACACAAGCATAAATGTTTCCTTGCTTCTGGGATTAATTTACTTTTATTCAGTGTTTCTCAAAGCTCTAGTTTAACCTCTTAATTGAGTCTTGTTAAATGTGAACTTCAGATTGAAGCTTGCTCACTTTTTTTACAGTGAATTGGTACACGGTCTTAACCATCTTTTCTCATTTCTAGAGCTTTACATTAGAGTTCTATTTCGAACCCAATGACTTCTTCACAAATGAAGTACTGACGAAAACATACAAGATGAGGTCGGAGCCAGACGAGTCAGACCCTTTCTCCTTTGATGGGCCAGAAATCATGGGCTGCACAGGGTATGCGATGTATTGAGTGCGCTGCTGTTCAGATAGTATTCAACTGCTGCAGTTCAGGCTGCTCGTGGATGTACTCCAAATGGAGGAAAAATGTATTTCTCAGTATAGCATAGTCTTGTGCTCTTGGTGTGTGCGATTTCACGTAACCATATCCGATTTATACTTTTTTTGGTCCCTTGTCCACTTTTTTCAGCTGTCCAATCGACTGGAAAAAGGGAAAGAACGTCACGTTGAAAACTATTAAGAAGAAGCAGAAGCACAAGGGGCGTGGCACAGTCAGGACAGTTACCAAAACGGTTCCCAACGATTCTTTCTTCAACTTCTTTGCTCCTCCTGAAGGTAAGTAATGGCTTTTGTTTTTTTTTAGCCTTTTCTGACCCCAAAATAGTCATGCTGTACAATGAGTTGTCCAAATTCTTAATCACTTGATTGATCAACTTACTTAATCATAATACATATTTATGCACACTGTCCCACTAGTTAAAGACAGCTATACAGTATTTAATCAGTTAGTGAAGGTACCCTGAGGCACAACATTGAGAACAGTAATTGTGTAACCTTTTTAGCACTGCCCTTGTCCTACGAGAACATAAGCCTTGTTGTATGAGTAACTAATTGATTTGAGGATCTCATGTAGTTTTTTTTTCTTGAAAGAAACCAAAGTATCTGATTTAACAATGTGGCTGGTTAGTTTGTAGCAGACACCCACAATCACCATCACAATGTGTAAAAAAATCCTTCAATTCTTAGTTTTCTATATGCTTCCTTTGCAGTTTCTACTTCAGTTTCACTGATAATGAAGTCCATTGCATTGATTTTTGCTAGTGCCCATTAGAATTTTATATGCTTTAATCAAGAAACCCTTGAGGACTTCTGTTAAAAGCTGAAAATATTTGTTTTATCTTCTTATGGGACATTCCTTTTAGCCTTAGTCTCTGGTCATCTCTTCTCCAGAGTACATTGTAACATGACCAGAATTGAACACCACATTCTATAGTGCATTACTCAATTAGAGCGTTCCTTGATTTCTGCATTTACATATTGCTGTGATATAGCTCCTCTCCATTGTGTAGGGGATACCATAATATGGTATTATTGTCGCAAGCCTTCTTCATTAAGAACTATTTTATAAGGCATGTTGAGAACTAGAATAACATTTTTCTCTTAGGTTATTGATGATTGAATGGCATGAATTCTGGCAGACACCGATGTCTGTGACTGTCTTGAGTGATGCTACTGTGCTAGATTAAATATGTCCCCCTTGTTTACTGTAGCAGGATTGTGATTTTGATAAAGTGAAATGTTGAATCTGGTCTTGGCTGTAAACTTTTTTTTTTCTTCCACAGTTCCAGAGAATGGGGACCTGGTGAGTACAGATGTCATTACAATTTTGATTTTATTTAAAACTGTTGGCTTTCTTTTGTCCCCTTTCTAAATGAAAGGAATATAGCCTTTTTATAGTGTTCCACCTGTGTGTATTTCCTGAACCACTCATACAACTTTTCACTTATAATTACACTCCTTGTATAGCCTCCTATACTTTCCTATTTAGTGCACAAAGAAGTACAACCTAATGAATCATTTAAGAAACTGATATTCTGGTGAAATGGCTTTTGACCAATCTTTTCATATATGAGCTCTTATGTCTTAAACTCTCTCTCCCATGATGAATTGTGGCAGGAGGAGGATGCTGAGGCAGTGCTTGCTGCGGACTTTGAGATTGGGCATTTCCTCCGCGAGCGCATTGTACCGAGGGCCGTGTTGTACTTCACAGGCGAGGCAATTGAAGATGACGACGACGATGTGAGTTCAGAACACTTTTATTGGAATAGCAATATCTTGATTTGTCCGGAAATATTTCTTATGATTAGTGGTTTTTGAATGCCTTGCTGTATTAATGTTTTGTCTTGTTTCTTCCCTTTAAGTATGATGAAGAGGGAGAGGAAGCAGATGATGAGGTAAGGCCTGAAGTTCCATTTTTTTTTAAACTCTGATATCCAAATGTGAGGCTAAAGTATAAATGTCTTTCAGTGTTTAATTGGCACTCATCTCGCCTGCTTAAGGTTGTTTTCTATAGTGTGTGACTTGTGGAAATTAAAATGGCCTGAATGTGACCATCTTCAGTTGTTTTTATTTGTTTTACTTAGGAAGGAGAAGAGGAAGCTGATGAGGAAAATGATCCCGATTATGACCCCAAGGTGGGAACTTTAAAATGTATTTCACCTAACAAACCTTCTAGCCCTTAAATTGACAGACATTATGAAAATAAAAATTCAACATACAGAATACATACCAATTTAAATGCATTTCATTAACTTCATGTTGGAGGGCTGATGGCCAGGATTGAGGGAGTGTTGGGGGATTTGAGGTTTGTGCTGTAATTGCTAAAATTGAGGAACTGGGTAGTATGAGGTCATTTTGGTGCAAGGTGTAAAATGGAATTCAAAACCACATTTGCTTTCCTACTTAAAGATGCTCTAGGTGACTGAATTGTACCCAAATGTGCATGTTAAATTTGCAGACATACACTGGGAGTTTCTAATTCTAAACTAAATTGGCAACTGTGGAGTCCTTTTTTAGATCATAATTGAAAGCATACCACCTTGTGCTTGTTTCAGTTAATACCCAGTAGTGATACTGTTGGACCTTCCAGTCACTGGATTTCAAAATATTAATTGGGTTTCCCCCAGTCAGATGGGTTGAAAATGCAGTACTAGCACTGGTGCTTTGGGATTCTTTGAGATGAAAAGTTCCATGTAAATGCACAATCTTATGCAAGTGAAACAATGAGCATCTCTTAGGGCTTTTTAAAAAACAATCTATAGTTAACAGCCTGGATGCACCACAACTAAATTGTATTATAACATTAAACCCTTGTGCTTCCCAACCTGCCTAAATTCTAGTCAATGCATGATTAGCTTGCAGAGTTTGGTAAGGCTCCTTTTTAGCATAAATCCATTTCAGCAAAACAATGTGCTGTGCTAATGCATTATCACAAGTTATTTGCAGCAGACTGCTTTTAACCACCTTAAATTAACTATTTATTTCCTGTTTTTTGTCTTTAAATCTCAGATCAGTAGCCAGTGCTGTGAAACAAATTTAATAACCCATTATGTGCTATGAAGGCACGATGTATCATTTACATTTTAAAAAAACAGTGCTAGATTTAAGTGAATAGTTTAATTTTTTAAAATGATAGTGAGAATCTAAAGATACCACTTGTAACTGCAACAAAATTCAGTTACTGCCAGGACATTACCAGGAAAAGAAAAGTATTGTATCGGCAGGTTTTATAGTCAAACTATGCATAATCATGGATCAATGCAAGCTGTATATCTGCAATGCATGCTTTGTACTATGTACAGGGTGCAGTGTTGTGGGACTCTGTCCTATTTTTCTAGTAGAGGCTGGACAAGAATGTGCCATTTCACATGTCTTTTAACCCGAGATGCCACATGCTATTCCAGGTAGCAAAACGAACTTTCACTGGACCTTAAGGAACAACTAGGATGTCTGTGGCACATCTGTCATTTTTTTTCCCCATCAGTGAAGCTTTTTTAGAAAAGCGGCATGAGGGTGTGTATTGTACTGTTGGCATGTCTCCTCAAGATGAGACTGGAAGAATGAGGTCCCAGGATGTGAATAGTGGAGTAGTGACTTGCAATCATTGCCACCAGCCAGTGGGTTTTGTTACGATTACACTTCCCAATTGGTTTGGCCTGTTGTACACAACCGGTATTGTTTAGCACATATGCACCACATTCAGATGTCCGTTAGGGTGGGAAACGCAAGAAAATGGCTTGGTTTTATGGCAGGCAGTGGTGCGCTGACGTAGATCAGCCTCCAACATAATGATGACATGAAGGCATTGTTCCCTTCAAAAGCAGCACGTATTGGTTTGTTTCTTCATTTTTCACCACATTGACCAAGACTAGCCATAGGTTAGTAAATTGATTATTTAGCTGCCTAAACAAGAGAAAAGTGTATAAATTAGTCCAAAGCCATTGTGTATGTACAAGTTGATCATTATTGACAAAGACAAAGTACTAAATCAAAAGGTGATGACAAGTCTTTGACAGTTTTATTCTGCTGTGTGTAAAAAAGCTCATTGCTACATTTTAAAAGACTGAAAATCTGTAAATGTCATTGCACTCATGAATGTAAAAGCAGTTGCTGTACAAAAACATGGCAACTTGGTTAGAAATCGTAAATGTGGGCCCTACATGCAAAAATGCAATTTCCCCCTTTTTAAAAAAGCACATAGAAGCTAAAAATAGTTCAGGCACGTTTGCTTAAATTAAAAAGTGATGACAGTGAGACCTTCCTTCACATTTGACACTTTTGCAGTGCACTTCACAAGTCTCAACTGAAAAAGAGACCAAAGTCATTTAAAACTTCACAAAAGCACGTTTTGCCTTTAGCTGAAAGTAAAATTGCAACATTACACATTACATCGATAGGTTCTTTGAGTAGTATGGCTTTTTGCAGGACTCAAAGGGTGTTAGAAATTTTATATTTTCTGTATAAATAATTCAGTCCTTTGGTTGGTAGGCAAAGAGGAGAGTTAAGTGTGGTGAAAATGATTTTGGCGTCGGGTACTTCAAGGCATGTTTGATTTTTATTTATAGTCGATTTGTTTCATTGAACGAGTGGTTTGCATGCTAATTGCTACTATAAATCCTGTGAATCACTTCAAATGCCTTAGTGCTGAAGGAACTTAAGGGTTCCGATTCTGATTTTAATTAATGGGTTTTACACTTTATCTTAATGTAAACCTTTTTACAGAGTACAAATATTTTAGTTCCTGCCTTCCTATTGCTGTCAGCCTGTGAAAATTCTGTCCTTTTGACTCTTACTTGCTATATGCTTTTATTTTTTAATTTTTATTAATGTTTCATCTCCAATCACTTTGCACTTTGTCAGCTACTTTCTAAATTTTTCCTTGCTAGGTTTAAATGATGTCTGTAGAAATAACCCTATCCTGGTAGGTAAGGCTTGTAAATTGTCAGTTTAATGCACTTTATGCTTGGATGTTTTCTGTCCCTTTCCATTTCTCCCTCTTTTATCCTTTTAACTAATGTAGTGTTTATTTTCTAGAGTGCGTTTTGCAACATTTGTATTTCTTCTGTATGTTGAAGGTAGCTAAACCTTTAAAAAAGGGCAGTTTATCAAAACTTCAAATTCTAAAATGGTAAAGGGAAAAATCAATTATTTTGGAGTATTATGGATATAAATGTATGAAACAGTAGTAGGTATTGACTGATTAAATTGCACATCATTCTTAAATACATCAAGTCAAGCAAGGGGGATGTGCTTTGCATCTTTCTTGGATATCCTGGAAGGAACATATAGATTTGTCTATTACTTTCCAATTTTCTTAAACTGTAATAAATTTAATTATACTCGATTTATTCTTTTACTTGTGAACTGTCATTAGGTTTGTATTCTTACAGCCATATTTTATGTATATGAATACCTTCCAGGATACTCAGTCTTGTGTGACCTCCCATGCAGATGCCACCCCATAATCATGAAGTATTCCTCTTTTTGTGTGCGTTTTTAAAGATGTTGAGTGGCGATAACATTTCTGCCCAAAAATTTTCTTCAGCTTCTTGCCCTTCCAAAATTGAGGTGTCATTGTGCCCTCTTTCCACTGTCT